TCTTTTCAAAAACTGACAAATTATATAAATGTGACCATATCTAAAAAACTAATGCTGTTTCAGTCTAGCCAATGCAATTTTCTGAATCAGCACCCCAAATAACACCAAGAACAGGTCTAAAAAGCAAGGCACCAAGAAAAAAGATCTTTTTTTTGTTGGGCTGTGTTATCCTCATAGGTCACCGTTACTATAGCACTTAGCTGTATGAGCAATCTTTCAAAAACCATATGATAATCGGTCACATAGGATCATGTTGAAGGGTCCTACTCCCTTTACATCCAGCATGCCCTGTGTGATTTATAGTTATCCTTGCTGCCTAGTTAAAAGTAACAGATTCTCTTAAATATGCGTCTGCCCCCACTCCACAGTCGTTTTTCCTTTACTCCCAGACCAGCCCGTTTTGGCTGCCAGTAGCAAAGTGACATGCCTGGTACTTTTGACAAGTATGTGACACTATTCCTTTCCTCCCACAATGCAGTGCTTGGTGCCTTGAGTGGCCAGGGTCCAGGCACCAGTGTTGTCACTTGGTAATAGGGAAGAGGGCCCTTAGACCCTGTGTAGGCTCCAACCAAACTAACATTGTCATCCATTGGACTTCTACTTTCCTCTCCCACAGGTGAATGGGGTGGCAAATGATTACCACCTCCGGACCAGCGACATACCATATGTCACTGGACTTTCGTTGGTTATACCAAAGTGGCATCACCCCAGTACCATTTTTTAGAGCCGGCGGTTGGCTCTTTTGCACAAGCAATCGAAGTGGTCAGCAAGCAGCGTCCCACACCCAACTTATAAACCCCAGATCCCTCTTCCTTGAAAAAAAATACCTGTCATGTATCTATTGCTGTCACAAGCGATATTTACATTCCTTGTCACAGCAATAAAAGTGAGCAAAAAAAAATAAAGCGCGCAAACCCCCTGTGCTTGCGCAGTCCCGCACGCACACAACGATCATCCCACACATGAGGTATCGGCGCATACATCAGATCATGGGCATTTATTCTAACCCTAGAACTCCTCTGTAAATCTAAAGTGGTAACTGGTAAAGGCTTTTAAAGCGTCGCCTATAAATTGTAAAATTTATGTAATTTGTCACCATTGCACAGGTGTGCGCAATTTTAAAATGTGGCGTTTGGTAACTATTCACTTGGCCTAACATCTTCATTTATAATTTACAAAAAAAATGGTTATGTATTGTGTTTTTGCAATAAAATTTACAAAAGTGTATTTTTTTCCCCAAAAAAATTGCATTTGAAAAACTACTGCACAAATACCGTGTGACATAAAAAAAGCAAAAAACACCACTTTTTTTCTCTGTGGCCTCTGCTTTTAAAAAATATTAAATATTTGGGTTCTAAGACATTTTTTAGCAAAAAATACTTAATTTAAAATGTAAACAAAAAGTGTCAGAAATGACTTGGGGCTGAAGTGGTTAAAAGAAATGTAATTCTGATAATCTGGAACAGGGGGGGCTGACATGGAAGCACACCTGTTGTTTTGGCCTAATTGGGCAAAGCATAGGCTCGCTTTAAGAAATTATTTTTGTATGTAATGCAGGCCATAGATGGGTCGAAAAACGGCCGATTTTTCGGCCGAAAATAAAATCGGCCGATTTTCGGATCGTTAGTGGGCTAATTGTTTGGCCGTTTTTCGGTATTTTGGCAGATTTTTTTTTATCGGTAAAGTTGGAAAAAAATCGGCCGATTTTGCCGATCGGCCGATTTTCGCGGCAATGATGGGCAAATCGGCCGATCTTTTTTACCGATAAAAAAATCTGTGCATGAGCAGTGACCTGCAAGAGGAAGACAAAAAGAAGAAGAGGAGAGAGGAAGAGGAAGAAGAAGAGGATGAAGAAGAAGAAGAGGATGAAGAGGAATTCCAGTCCGGCAAAAAGTGTCCCTGCAGAGAGCTCCGCTATTTCTTTGACAGTTCCTTGACATTTATAGCGGTTGCAACAATGTATTTGTTTCCGAATAAAAACATCTATCCTAAATGGATACAAATACATTGTTGCAACCCCAATAAATGTCAAGGAACTGTTAAAGAAATAGCGGAGATCTCTGCAGGGACACTTTTTGCCGGCTGTAGACGGGATGAAAATCGGCCGATTTTTTTTTTTTTTTTTTTTTTTTTTTTTTTTTTTTTTTTTTTTTACCGTTGCTGGTAACGTCGGCCGCTTGAACGACCGATTTTTCGTTTTTTTTTTAAAGAAAAATCGGCCGATTTTCGACCCATCTATGGCCTGCATAAGGCTGGCCATACATTATACAATTTTCTTGTACAATTTTTCTTTGGATTTACCAAAAACCATATAATATGGGGTCAAGCCTAAACAACACTTTCAATTCTATCTAGTTAGGTAGGCCCTTGCACTACGTAATTGAAGGTAAATCTGAAGGAAATTGTGCAGAAAATTGTATAATGTATGGTCAGCCTTATTTGTAGATTTATAGGCTGTGTTTTAGGTAAGATGGAGATATCCCATTTTAGTATGTGCACAGATTTCAAAAGAGAAAATTTGTGTCAGCTGACAATCTATAACAAAACTTCCAAAAATATGATATGCTCTTCAATAGTAATAAGGTCTTCAATAGTGTTGAAATAAAATCCCTTATTTAGCAAAAAGGCAGTACAAAATGTAAAATGTTTGTTTACAGCTCACAGCTAGTTATTTTAAATTTAAAATGTATTATTTCACTCTTCAGCATAATACATGTTACAACATCAAAGCAAAAAATCCACCCGACATGGTAGGTCATCAACATACAGTGGGGCAAAAAAGTATTTAGTCAGCCACCAATTGTGCAAGTTCTCCCACTTAAAAAGATGAGAGAGGCCTGTAATTGGCATCATAGGTAGACCTCAACTATGAGAGACAAAATGAGAAAAAAAATCCAGACAATCACATTGGCTGATTTGGAAAGAATTTATTTGCAAATTATGGTGGAAAATAAGTATTTGGTCAGTATCAAAAGTTCATCTCAATACTTTGACCTCTGTCATTGCCAACAAAGGATATATAACAAACGTTTCCTGTAAGTCTTCACAAGGTTGGCACACACTGTTGCTGGTATGTTGGCCCATTCCTCCATGCAGATCTCCTCTAGAGCAGTGATGTTTTGGGGCTGTCGTTGGGCAACACGGATTTTCAACTCCCTCCAAAGGTTTTCTATGGGTTTGAGATCTGGAGACTGGCTAGGCCACTCCAGGACCTTGAAATGCTTCTTACGAAGCCACTGCTTCGTTGTCCGGGCGGTATGTTTGGGATTATTGTCATGTTGGAAGACCCAGCCACATTTCATCTTAAATGCCCTTGCTGATGGAAGGAGGTTTGCCCTCAAAATCTCACGATACATGGCTCCATTAATTCTGTCCTGTATATGGATCAGTCGTCCTGGTCCCTTTGCGGAGAGAAACAGCCCCAAAGCATGATGTTGCCACCCCCATGCTTCACAGTAGGTATAGTGTTCTTTGGATGCAACTCAGCATTCTCTCTCCTCCAAACACGAGTTGTGTTTCTACCAAACTGTTCTTTTTTTGGTTTCATCTGACCATATGACATTCTCCCAATCCTCTTCTGGATCATTTCAAATGCTCTCTAGCAAACTTCAGACGGGCCCGGACATGTACTGGCTTAAGCTGGGGGACACGTCTGGCACTGCAGGATCTGAGTCCCTGGCGGCGTAGTTACTGATGGTAGCCTTTGTTACGTTGGTCCCAGCTCTCTGCAGGTCATTCACCGTGTGGTCCTGGGATTTTTGCTCACCGTTCTTGTGATCATTTTGACCCCACGGGGGTGAGATCTTGAGTGGAGCCCCAGATCGAGGGAGATTATCAGTGGTCTTGTATGTCTTCCATTTTCTAATTATTGCTCCCACAGTTGATTTGTTCACACCAAGTTGCTTGCCTATTGCGGATTCAGTCTTCCCAGCCTGGTGCAGGTCTACAATTTTGTTTCTGATGTCCTTCGACAGCTCTTTGGTCTTCACCATAGTGGAGTTTGGAGTGTGTTTGAGGTTGTGGACAGGTGTCTTTTATACTGATACAGGTAATGAGTGCAGGACAGAGGAGCCTCTTAAAGAAAAAGGTACAGGTCTGTGAGAGCCAGAAATCTTGCTTGTTTGTAGGTGACCAAATACTTATTTTCCACCATAATTTGCAAATACATTCTTTCCAAATCAGCCAATGTGATTGTCTGGATTTTTTTCTCATTTTGTCTCTCATAGTTGAGGTCTACCTATGATGCCAATTACAGACCTCTCTCATCTTTTTAAGTGGGAGAACTTGCACAATTGGTGGCTGACTAAATACTTTTTTGCCCTACTGTACATTATAAGCACAAAGTATGGACATTGGTTATACCCATGTTGTATAAAAAACAGTGCCCCACTGCAACACACACACAAAGCAGCGGGTAGACAGGTAAAATATCAGTATGATCAGAGGACTGTTACCAGTTAAGAGACCTTGTATAACCTCCTTGCCATCTCTTCGAAACAACCTGGATCCCAACCATGCAGGTTTGGGCTCACATCTAAGTTATATGACCCCGAGTAAGGTGCTAACAGGGATTTTACTTATTTTTGATACCTTTTTTCTATACATTGAAGGCCTTGTGGCGCAGTTTTTTTTTTTTGGAAGTCTATGAAGATCTATGCCTAAGGTATAATGGTGAGGTAAGCACTGAGCTTGTAAATAAACTATAATCAATAATAATTGGTACCCTTTTCATTAAAAGGATATTTTTATCCGGAAATATAACAAAATTGTTGAATTACTTATGTAGGAACTGCGTAGGCTACAAAAAAAATTTCAAAAGTCATGCACGGTTATTATCTTTTACCCTATGTATAACCAAGCTGCATAGTATAAAGTGATTGATTGGCCCACAGGCTGAACAAAAAAAAAAGTGTATGGCCAGCTTAAGACATGAAAATATAATTATATGAATATTATCTGCTTAAGTAATTTAGATTTGTTTTTTTTCTCTTTGTAAACAGTTGCAAATGCTGGGCTATGACATCAGTTGGGCTGCATTTAATATCGTTGAGGTGATGAGTGCATCAAAATTCACATTTAAGGTATGTTATAGGCGTGACATTGACTGAAAATGCTTGCTGCTGATAACAACTGCTAATAGCCTTTGTTTTTGTCTTCTACAGAGGATTGGATACTTGGCTGCTTCTCAATGCTTTCATGAAGGGACTGATGTCATTATGTTGACCACAAACCAAATTAGGAAGGTAGGCGAGTTGCAGCCCTGTTTTAATCTAGGTCATCATAAACTCATTAGTTTCCTTGAGGGGGACAGAAGATTGTATCTAGTGGAAGCAGGGCCTTAAATGCATTCTGAGAATCACTGAAGCTTTAGACTATTTACACATCTTCATAACCAATGTTTAAGGATGTATATGTGTTCCAGGGTCTAGACTAATTTTTGAGCTCCACCATGCGCAATGAATCTCACTTTGATGGACTTTAAAGAACGAGTCTGGGTACTGGCAGTGCTGATTGACATGAACCTAAATTCAAATATGACTTTACCTCTCTTCTATGCTGCATTTGTTAACAAAAAGTAAGTTAGGTTGCCCATATAATGACATTGGGGTTCCATTATGGTCCAACAAGCATTCTGAGTTCAATATACACTCACTGGCCACTTTATTAGGTACACCTGATCAATTGCTTGGTAACACAAATTACTAATCAGCCAATCACATGGCAGCAACTTGATGCATTTAGGCGAAGATGACTTGCTGAAGTTCAAACTGAACATCAGAATGGGGAAGAAAGGTATTTAAGTAACTTTGAATGTGGCATGGTTGTTGGCGCCAGATGGGCTGGTCTGAATATTTCAAAAAACTGCTTATCTGCTGGGATTTTCACACACGATCATCTCTAGGGTTTACAGAGATTGGTTCAAAAAAGAAAAAATATCTAGTAAGTGGCAGTTTGTGTGGACAAAAAATGCCTTGTTGATGTCAGAGGAGAATGGGCAGATTGGTTTGAGATGATAGGCAACGGTAATTCATGTCAATATGAACCAAAATCTCTAAGGAATGTTTCCAACAGCTTGTTGAATCTATGCTGCGAAGACTTAAGGCAGTTCTGAAGGTAAAAGTGGGTCCAACCCAGTACTAACAAGGTGCACCTAATAAAGTGGACTGCGAGTGTAATTGCCTACTTTGAGAAGGATTCCAATTGCGTCTATTAATTTTTAATAAAAACTTTTTACAAACACAAACTTTGTAGACATTTTCCTGTATCATTCAGCATACATATAGAATTACAGACAAGTACAATTATCAGAGTTGAGGTGGGGTAGAAGATCATATGATTGAACCGAGGTCCAGATACTTGGGTCTGTGTCTGGATTTAATTTTCTGTCCAGTGACCATTAGTATCTACTGCCATATACTAAGATGGATTTCATATGAGCATATTTTGTTCATCATGAATTTGAATGTAAAATTATATATGTTTTTTAAACTTTGATTAAACACTTGCCCTCCAAAGGATATACCCCCCCCTTCCTGACAGGCCATTTTTTGCGTTGCGGTGATGCGTTACTTTAACTGACAATTGCGCGGTCATGCAACGCTGCACCCAAATGAAATTTATGTCCTTTTTTTTTCCCTTGAATTGAGCTTTCTTTCGGTGGTATTTGATCGCTTGTGCGCTATAGAAAAAAAAACCGACAATTTTGAGAAAAAAAAAACAATATTTTTGACATTTTACTATTAAACATGTCCCAGTAAAAACATTTTAATCAAATTTAATCATACATTTATGCCAAAATGTATTCCGCTACATGTCTTTGCTAAATTAAAAATCACAATACGTGTAAATTAATTGGTTTGCGTGAAAGTTATAGTGTTTACAAATGGTGGTCTATATATACTGGGATTTTTTTTTTCTTTTAATTTTTACTAATAATGGCGGCGATCAGCGATAGTGGGACTGCGGCGGATATTCTGACACTGGGGGGAACTGACTTGGTGTCACTGACATCCCCAGTGATACCAATACAGGGATCAGTGCTAATAAAAAGCACTGACCCTGTACTAATGGCACTGGGCAGGAAGGGGTTAACATGTTGGGCGATCAAAGGGTTAAGTGTGTGCTGGGAGTGTTTTACTAGGGGGTGGTGTGTGTGTGTGTGTGTGATTCACTGTAATCACTGCTGTGGATGGCTGTGCTGTGCACAGCCATCCACAGCAGTGTGCCCGAGCTGACAGGGAGGACTGTTCGTAAACAAAACATTCCTCCTCCCCATCGGAGATCCTCAGAAATCTCCGGGTGCCAGCGAGTTATTAGCAGCTGGGGCCTGGTGATTGACAGCCGCAACCTTAAATGGCGACTTGCGCGCACCCCCTATTTGGAAATGCAAAATCACATATGTATACGTGATTTTGCGCACCGCTGCCGCCCTGTAGCAGCATTTCTGCTATAAGCCGGTCAGCAAGCAGTTAATTGGAGGTTTTTGATAGCTTTGTTTTGTGGAATTTGCATGGTCGTCCTAAAATTTTTAGTATGACTTACATTGTCAAACGAGGACGTTCACTTGTTTTATTATGTCAGTAACTGTCATTAACGTGTACATCAACCTCTTGACAGTTGTGAAAGTATTCTAATAATAATTGTCTGTTCGCTGTTTCTTTGCAGGATCTCAGTAGTCCTAATCAATATGATACAGGTGTTGCCCTGACTGGTTTATCATGCTTTGTAACCCCAGACCTAGCCAGGGATTTAGCCAATGATATTATGACATTGGTAAGTATTAGAACATGCATGTCCTTTTTTTATTATTATTTTTTTATTTTTTTTTTTCTGTTAAATAGGAGTGACTTTGTTGAGCAGAAAATATTATCACGATTACATCCGTGTCTCCTTGTGTTTGTCAAGATATCCTTCTCCATGCCCCCCCAAAAAAACAGTCCATTTGGGAAGAAATACTTTTTAGGAATTACAGCTGTGCTACAAAAAGGCTGTGAGCAAACTTCCTCTTGGATTTAAGTGGTAGGAGGTACCTATCCAAACTAGGTACCCACTGCCCAAGCAAAGATTTTATTGTGCCAAATGTTTTAGTTGGAGGAGGACCTAAAGTGGAACTTCCCCTTTAAGGATATTTTCCAGCTGAAATGATTATTACGCTTTTTTGTAAGGAGGCAGTGGGTATCTCTGAACAAAAACTTTTAGTTTCCCCCAGGATAGCTCCACTTGCTTGGTATTTGGATCTGCTCAGAAGTTAGATTTGTCATATAACCTCTGAGTAATAAGCATATGTGATTTTGATTTTTGGTATCCAATGCCTTTTTGCTAGAGTAACGGTCCTAAGTCTGCTGGGGCTGCTGACATTACTGCAGGGAGACCACAGGCAATACTGGTGATTATTCCTTTGCCCCTGCTTGCCTTTTTGAGCACAAGTTCCCCAGTTCTGTTCCTCTAAAACACCTAGGACATGGCAGCAGGCCATCCATGGATTTAGGCATTAATACCAGATCATCAAAATCTGGTGTTTTTATTCCAGGGTCCAATCAAAAACGGACTTCATTTATGCTAAATGGAGACAGTTAAAGAAAGTTTGTTTATTCAATTTTTGTTAGCATAAAGAAGGTTGCAAGAAACATATACAATGAAGTCTAGAATTTTCTTGATCTCAGGAAACTGTTCTGACATCATTTTATGACAACCTTATACATGCAGAAGACTTTTAATGCACTAGATATAACATACTGACATCCATTCACATCCAGCCACTTGTTCTCTTAACAATAATAATATAGCATAGGTGCAGGATTCAAATTTTTGAACAGTTTGATTTTTGAAAGCCTGGTGCTACTCCTGAAACTTGGTGTATTTATACCGAGAACTTCAACAATAGTATCTGCCTTTTGCCAACATTGCAAGTATCTAGTTATATAAAAACTGAAGGCACTTGTATTGAGATTTTAAAGGCTCTTAAATAACTCAAATCCACGTGTCAAGACTGTAAAATTTAAAAACTGAATTGGTAATTTTATTTAAAAAAGTTTTTTAAAATCATGGAACTGTTGTATACACAGGTACTACATAAATAGAAATCTTAACGATGGTAATTTTTAACATTGCATTAAAATACCTCCTAGCCTCATAGTCGTTCTGTCAACATATATCAAAGGAGCTGTAAGCTAGGATCTAATCCTGGATGTTCCTGTCCAGTTATACCATCCAAAGCGGAACACACTAGCACGCATGCATACAGATTCTAAAATGTTCCAGCTGGTGTAAATAGGCGCGTAAGGTAGAACGTCTTTCTAGTTTAAAAAAAAAAGTCTTCACTTTGTGTTCTTTTAATATAATGTATTAATTAAAAAGGCTTCCAAGATGACTTAAGTGAAATATCTTGTGATCACTACAGATGTCCCATACAAAGCCTTACATCAGAAAAAAGGCAGTTTTGATTATGTATAAAGTTTTTCTGAAATACCCAGAGTCTTTACGTCCAGCATTCCCAAGACTCAAAGAAAAGCTAGAGGACCCTGACCCAGGTAAGCATTTAATCTGCCCCCTTTTTTTTCTCTTTACAGCTAGCAGTGTTTAGAGATGTTAGATTGTAAGCAATTTGTCATTATCATTTCCAGGGGTGCAGTCTGCTGCAGTGAATGTTATATGTGAACTTGCTCGTCGAAACCCTAAAAATTATCTGTCTTTGGCCCCCTTATTCTTCAAGCTCATGACATCATCTACGAACAACTGGGTTCTAATTAAAATCATCAAATTGGTAAGCATTAAAGTATATTTTTCCTTTCTCTTATTTCATCCAATTTACAGTTTTTCCACTAGGTGTTAAATTTACACCTCTTCTTGAGTGCAAAATAAAAGGAGGCTGTCGAGTTCCACATTTAAAATCTCTATATTTATCAATTTTAACTCCTTCTTCTTTTCTTGACTTGAGGAAGCTAATATTCGTTACCTTAAAGCTCAATGGAACTTTTGGTTTAAATCTGCTAAATATATTCTAGGTGCATTAAAAAAAAGCTGTGGAAAAACATTTTTTTTTTTTGTTAATTTTAACACAGCCACAGTCGGAGTATGAAATCCTGTCATTTAAGAGCATGCTGCAGAGAAGGACCATTGCTCTCTGTGTGGAAACTGTGCTGGTCTGACATCAGCTTAATCAGACTTCTAGTTTTGCAATTAGCAAAGTGTATGCTTCCTGCTGATTGGAGAGTTCTGGCTCTGACTCAGCAGGGAGTGTGTTGAATCTCTGCAGAGATTGCTGCTTCTCAAAAAAAAAAAAAAAAAAAAAAAAAAAGTACCTTTTTGTATAGTGCGCTGGCAGGGGACAGTATTTTTTCTTTGGCTATGACTGCTTAAAGTGGTTGTAATCCCTTACATATACACATTGATTTGACTGGCCTCAGGTGATATACAGAGATGAAGCAAGTCCTCCTACATAGGTTGCACCTGTATATCTATGGCTGTCTTTCCTCTACATCCATTCAAAGTGCAGAATTTACACAGGATCTCTCAGCTCTGAAAAGTAGGGGGGTAGAGACCTGGAGAGGCTGTCAATCTGTTGGAGTTTCCTCCCTGTCACCATTTTTGTGTTGGTGTCCGGAAAACTTGTCAGAAATTATTCATGCTGACAGTATTAAACATAAATGCCGCTTAGTGCTCTTAATTGAGACAAGTACACACTATAGAGGGATATGCTTAATTCATATTTTGTGTCTGAGATTTACAACCACTTACTAAACCCAGGACCCTACATTCACTATATCTGGTCTCCCATAGTACACAGAACATGGAAATGCAATTATTGTAGTAAATATAAACTGCTGAATAACTTTTCTCATCAGCAGTATATAGCAGTCTTGTGACTTTTATCCATGTCTGGCCGAGCACTGGTTAATATTGCAAGAGGAGGTTTCAGCCTTTGAGGCTGCATGACACCTGACCCTCTTTCTGGACAGTGCTGATTGACACATGCACCCTCCCAAAGAAAAAAAAAAACACTCCCTACCAATACACACCAAACTGAGCATGTACAGAGTGACTCCTAGAGCTCTGTACTATCAGCAGATGGATTGTGACCGTAGAAGGGGGAGGATCAGAGAAGACAGGATCCAAACAGCCTTTTTACACAATGTGGAGGATTAACCCACAGTGAGTTAAACAAACATTCTTTACTGCATATACAGACTGATTTTACTGTTGTTGGTTTTGTAATAATTTAAAGCAAGAGTTCCACCCAAAAGGGGAAATTCTACTTCAAGACCTTGTTCCCCGCTCCCCATTAAGGAGTGGCACCTTTGGTGCTTTTGATGGCACTTGCTCCCCCTCTTTACTGTACGCAACCCCATCTTTTTAGATCTTCGCAACAAATTGGGTATAATCTTTGCTTTTAGGGGAACTCTACTTTCGTGGGGAAAAAAATATTGCAAATAAAAAATGATAGCTTATATAATTGCAACACAAACCATATTGTAATATAACATTATTATAAATTTTCTTTTCAATCTACAGCACTGTAATTATGCAAAGCAATATGGTAACCTGGAGGCATTCTGTACACAGTGTACGAAACTCCAACTACATTTTTCCCACATTTGTGTGTGGACCAGGTTGTGCAGCATAGGTTGGGGCAAACTAAAACACTGCCAAGGTGCCTATTGAAAGTGCCCCTGGAAATGTTGAAGTTTTCCCCAACCATTATAACACTCAGGATGTGCACTAAACACATAGCTATCACAATAAAATATTTCTTGTGAGAGTGGCCCTTTAAATTTTATACAGATTGGAAATTACTATTTGGAATGTGTACACTTAAGTGCTAGGTGAAATAGCACATCTGGCACTTATGCTTTACATCTCCTGAGCAGTCAACGTAGTTATTAATATCCTGGAAGTAGTTTATCAGGCACTGCTCTCTTAAGTGTGCATAAAATTGCTTGCGTGTAACAAATTGTTTGGCATGCTACACTCTTTAGATACAGAGATCTGGGGAGTGCTAGGTGAGTGCATTACTAACATGTGCCAAGGACACCCTTTTGACAATTATACTTGCCCTTAAAGTTAGCCACTTGAGCCCCTTTAAAGCGCAGCTCCAGTCTCCAAAGTTTTTGTAGACTTTTAATAAACAGTCGCTCACCTGTCCTGTGTTCCAGCGCTGTGCTCGGCCAGCAGTTTTCAACCTCCTGTGTCTCTCTTCGTGGTGCTGGCATCTTTACTATGGGCATTTGGCTGTAACAGCTGGTGGCTTCACAGCTGGGTGCCTACTGCACATGCGTGAGTGGCTCTGCACAACGTGAATAGGTCCGGCAGTCTCCTGTGACTAGAAGTCTACTGGAGGGAAGGGGGGGTGGAGAACTTCCACTTTTGATCGCCTAGGCGGGCGGAGCGAAAGTGGGAGTGGGTACCTGTCAAAATCAGGTACCCTCTCTCTCCCTCTTCCCTGAAAGCTCCATTTCCCAAACAGGAGCTGGATAGGAAGCCTTAAAGCGGACCTTCTCCTTTTTGAGTGGAGTTCCGCTTTAAAGTTTTATCCCCTTCATGACCAGGCTATTTTTCCCTATTTAGCACTGCGCTACTCTAACTGGTAATTGCATGGTCATGCAACGCTATACCTAAACAAAATTTGTATAATTTTTTTCACACAAATAGAGCTTTCGTTTGGTGGTATTTGATCACCACTGGGTTTTTTATTTTTTGTGATATAAAGGAAGAAAGATTGAAATGTGAAAAAATATTTTTTTTTTACTTTCTGCTATAAAACCTATCCAATAAAAAAAATTTAAATCAAATTTCTTCATAAATTTTGGCCAAAATATAATCTGCTTCATATTTTTGTGAAAAAAAAAAAAAAATCCCAATAAGTGTATATTGTATCAAGTGTATATTGTTTGGTTTGCATGAAGGTGATGGCGTCTACAAACTATGGTGTGTGTGTGTGTAATAAATAAATTTTTATATAGAGATATAGATAGATGGATAGAGAGATAGATAGAGAGATAGATAGATATGTGATCACTTATAAAACGGGAAAAAAGTATTTATAAGGTTTTATTTTATATGTATACACAAATGTTTTGCCTTTAATTTCTATTTTGAACTGAGTGGGTTGTTTTAGAAGGTGAGGCTTTACATATTCTTTAAAGTGATACTAAAGCTTCATTTTTTTTTTTTAAGAAAATAATAAACATGTCTCACCTGCTCTGTGCAGTAGTTTTGTACACAACTGCCCCGATCCTCTTCCTTTTGGGCTCCCCACCGACACTCCTGGCTCCTCCCCTTTGATCAGTGCCCCCAGAGACATTTGCTTGCTCTGAGGGCACTGATGTGTGCTCCTTCCCAAGCTGCTGCTCTATACGTCCATAAGACACACAGACCCCGCCCCCCACTCTTGGCTCACTGGCTGTGATTGACAGCAGTGGGAGCCAATGGGCTCTTGCTTCTGCAACAGCCAGTGAGGAAGGATAGTCTCCATACAGCTGAGGCTATGATGAACATCACTGGGACAAGGGGGCTTAGGTAAGGATTGCCTAGGGGGGGGGGGGGACGACACTGTACATGGAAGATTTTTAGATCTTTTTTTACCTTCATGCATAGAATGTATGAAGGTGAAAAACCTTGAGCCTTTGGAGCCACTTTAAATTAACAGAACAGTGCCCCATTGAGGAAACATCTCTTCTGTGGGCACTGTGTATCCTCCCATTATTTTGGTTATTACAGTTCAGTTTCCCTTTCCATTTTATTTCTAGTGCAAGTACATAAACATTTCAGTGACACCATAGTCCATATGATTTGTTGAAAAGTCTTATGTAATTAAAATAAATTCTTTAAGTGCAAGTTACCCCAGCAATTACCTTCTCTTATTTGCTTCCCTTTTGGCCTGTTATACAGTATATTGCATTACCATTTGTTATATTTGTTTGATAAATGCATAAATACTGTTGATCCTGCCCAAAATCTAGTCAGCTGTTAACTTCCTGTGGGCTGTGCAGCAGTATCTCAAGCCTTATCAGCTCTACCCAGTCCACCTCTTTGTCCTGCTGCCTCCCCCCCATATATTGTTGAGGGGGAGGTGTTCTGAAGTCCTAACATTATTTTGTCTTAGTGGACACAGTACAATGGGGAAGGGGTTGGGGATAAGTGCAGCCACCACATCCAAGGGCTGGTTGGTAAGCTGCATTATATATATAAAGGTTGTTCTTGTGCTTCGATATATTTCAATTTTAAATTGATCTTGTATTTTCCTCCACTCTTTTTTGTGTTTAGTTTGGTGCACTTACTCCCTTGGAACCACGACTGGGAAAGAAGCTTATTGAACCACTGACCAACTTAATACACAGGTAGCTTAGTCCAGCCTTTGTTTATTTTTTTAGTATTTCTTGCTAAAAGTTCTAGATATTGTTTTAGGCAGGTGTTCTTCAGATTTTGCTTTTTCTTTGTGGTTTATTTTTGGTCATGTTATCATTATTGGTCATTTCACACACAATGTGCGGCTGCCAGGGAGGTAAACTGCTATTGTTTCCTCTCTGTCAGCTGTCCTTTTGGCTGTGGTAGGGGGCTGTGTAGTGCACACACTTCTCCCTATTTTTTTGGGGGACAAACTTTATTTTAAGTGTACAAATGTACACTTCATTCATGGCATTGTACAGCAGTGCAGTGCTCTGCAATAAAATGCAGCATGCCTGCAGGTTAGCGCAGCTCCAGGCTGCATTGCAGTGTGAATGGGACACACAGGAAATGGTTGTTTTCGGTGTGTCTTTGCAGTGACAGGCCTTTTACAATGCAGTAAAACATCTTTCCCCGTGTGTGTTAATTAGTCCTAAGGCTGTACTATGTGCAGTGATTGGCATTTAACTGCATTGTAAAACGTCAGTCTCAGCAAGGATACCGAAGAAAACAATTGTTTTCTATATGTTCCATTCACACTGCAACATAACCCAGAGCTATGCTGCAGCAAGCTGCGATTAAATGCAGATATGCTACATTTTATTGCAACTCGCTCTACAACATCTCATGTCACTGTACAGCAGCGCAGCAGATCAAGTGGGGAGGGGAAAGAGCTGTGTGTGTGTGTGATGAATTGCACAACACATTGCCCCCTACCACAGCCATAATGGACAGAGAAAACTGCAGTGGTTTACTTTCCTGGCAGCTGTACGTTGTGTGCGAACTGCCGTAATTCGAAAAGCAGAGCAAAAACCGTTTCTCATGAATGACAAATGCTGCTTATTATGCATACGTCTGAGATCCTTCTGAACTGCTTCAAAGGTACTTCTGCTCTCTTGACCTCCCCACAAGCTGCAGCCGGCTATTTTTTGAATTTACTTTGATTCTGTTGGGAGGAAAAGCAGTTGTGATGCATACAAATACCATGAATTAGATAAATATATCAAAGTAGTTCTAGGATCATAAAAGGCTGATGTTTCGGGTAATGTGCATACAACACAGTCATTGCTTTACTCTGTGGCTCACAGTTTCCTATATATGCTTTAAGTATATAATTAAATTTTTTTTTTCTTTCATAAACAGCACATCTGCAATGTCCTTGCTCTACGAATGTGTAAATACTGTAATAGCAGGTAAGTGAAATGAACATAGAGTTGACACCACATATTTAAAGGAATAAATATTATGATTTAGATTTTTACATAAAACCATTTATATCTGAGAAGTAGGGCACAATATGTCTGGTATTGTCGACATATTCCAGATTCTTTTATACCTTCTGTGTGTTCGCTTAACACAAAAATTATTTTGAATACTAAAATTTACAGAGATCTTTTCTCATTCAGCAAGATTGATTTTAGTACTCCTATAAAGTTAATTTGCAGTTGCCGTTTTAGATTGACACTCCTAATTTTAAGTGGAATTCCAGACACAACCTATTTTACCAGTGGAAATCTGCTGTTCCTTTTTGAGGCATCTTCTCAGCAGTAAGTCTTGCAGGAAGCTAACTCCCAGAGTCATAAAATTAAGTGTCCTTGGAGTGCACCCATTCCTGGTGTTACTCATTTCAACTTGTAATAAGACATCCAAATCTTACATTGAAAGCAAACGTGTTTTGCTCATGCAGGGCAAAAATGATGGGTTTGCTATTGTTTTTTTTTTTTTTATTCTACTTTTTTTCCATATTTAACAGGGCTTACCCAAACGTTCAACATCATATGTTTCCATTGTAAGCAGTCAGAACTGATGCAAGTTGGGACACACTGTAAAATCTACATAAAAACAGAATGCAATGATTTAAAAAATTTAAAAAGCCATATTTTATTCACAATAGAAAATATAACATATATCAAATGTTTAAACTGAGAAAACATATCATTCTAAGAAAAAAATAAGGTCTTTTTGAATTTGATGGCAGCAACAAGTCTCAAAAAAGTTGGGACAGGGAAACAAAAAGCTGGCAAAGTTAGTGGTACTAACAAGGAAGATCTGGAAGAACTTTTTGCAAACATATTAGGTTAATTGGCAACAGGTCAGAAACATGATTGGGTATAAGAAGGGCAACTTAGCCCCCGTTCAAATCAAGCCTGACTTTGAAATCGTGCGACTTACAGTGAAGTCACATGATTTCAAAGTCAGGGGACCCGCCTATTTCAAATGCGATTTGCAAGACATCTGATACAGATGTCTATGCAAATCGCACAAAAGTAGTGCATATACTACTTTTGAAATTGGTGCAGCTCCGGCCACGTCAGAACCGCACCGATATGACCGCTCCAATTGCGGACAATTGGGTGCGAATTGGCATGCGATTTGCAAGTCACAGGGGATGCAAATTGCATGCCAAGTCGCACCGATGTGAACAGGGTATTAGAGAGCCAGAGAGTCTCAGAAGTAAAAATGGTTCATCTGTAGAAAGCCAATAATTTCAGAATAATGTTCTTCAACATAAAATTGCAAAGACTTTATATCATCATCTACAGTACATAATATATTCAAAAGATTCTGAGAATCTGGAGAAATCTCTGTGTGCAAGGGACAAGGCCGAAACGCAATATTGAAAAAAGAAGTCATATCTGAACATGATCCGTGTCTTTTGGGCCAAAGTTCATTTAAACTGGTCTGTTGCAAAGGGTAAAACTGTCCTGTGGTCAGAGAAATTGAAAGTTGACATTCTTTTTGCCAACCATGGTTTCCACATCCTCCAGACTAAAGAGAAGAGGGACCTTCAGGTTTGTTATCAGCGTCCAGTTCAAAAGCCCTCATCTCCGATGGTATAGGAAGTATGAAATTGGCAATTTACACATCTGGAAAGGCACCATCAATGCTGAATGTATAGAAGTATATCCAGGTTATAGAGCTGCATATGTTCAGGCTAGAAATCCAGCAATTGGTCTCCTCAGCTCCCAGATGTTTACAGAGTGGTTTTAGAAGAAAGAATGCTACACCATGGTAAACATGGCCCTCTATCAATTGTTTTGTAATTGAGGTTGTACTTTGCCAGCTTTTTTGCTGCCCTGTCCCAACTTATTTTGAGACGTGTTGCTACCATCAATTTCAAAATTACCTTTTGTTTTTTTTGCCAAAAATGGTACATTTTCTCAGTGTAAACATTTGATATGTTTTCTATTGTGAATAAAAGATGAGTTTGAGATGTGCAAATCATTGCATTCTTTCTTAATGTAGATTTTACACAACCTTTTTAAACTGAGGTTGTGCATTACTACATCATCGGTTGGTAAGATAGTGTTTGGTGAAAAATGTCAAAATGTTTTTACTTATAGAACAGGGGAAGCCTTTTCAAGAGGTAGAACAGAATTAGGGAAGGAAGAAGGGATAAGGGGAAAGCTTAAGTTTGCCTTTGCTTTGCTCCACTGCCACTCTATTCAAATGCTAGGAGTGAAGTAAATCCCTAATATATCCAGGTTTGGAAGAGCGTATGATTCAGTCCAATTAACAGCACTGTTGCCAGTGCTATTACATGGGGACAGAGAGAGTCCCTCACCAAGTGTAAACCACTAGAGCAACTCCAGACCTACACAGGACTTTCTTAATTCCTGATAGCTGAACAGAGTTGCGTATAAAGAAATGTGCATTAGGCAAAAGGAGTATTACAGAAAACCTATTGCTTTGCCCTACATAGTAAAAACATGCGTAAATTGACGGCTCTATATAAGTACCTGAAGTTAATAAATAAATAGTGCTACAGCATAATCATGCATTTTTAAGTGCGCTTTTTTTGCACATTTTTACATATGTTTTAGATGCGTTTCAATGTGTTTTTATTTATATATTTATTTTACATGCGCTTTGCGTATGCTCTCATTGAAGTCTATGGGGCCAAAAATGTATTGTCTTGTCCCCAAAGCGGCATTTGCACCTTTTTTTAAAAATTGCATTTCACCATGTTTGCAATGATGGGAATGGGCACCATAGAGAATAACATGATTTTCATTGTTTTGCATGGCAGTAGACGTAGGAAAAAGCACACTAGGGTGAATGGAATTTGAAAGTGATTCTTCATGTGAGAAGTATTGCGTGATTACCCTGAAAGCCTCTTTCTAAATAATGCTAGATTATTGGCTGTGTCTCACTTTTTTGTAGGTTTCAGTCAGAGTCTTAGAACAAGCATTTAAAATGAAAGTCAGAAAAGTGTCACAACTTTTTTCTATACCTGTTTTTGGTCAGAAGCTTGGACAGCACTGAAGTCAAAGCATCAAAATGACAGGAATCAAGCCTTCTCAAAGGGAGAGTTCAGTAATAGCCTCTAATAATCTTTCATAGCAGCAGTTCTTTTAAGCGAACTTGTGCTTTCCCTGAGCGGGTTAAAGAAATAGGGAATTTTAATGGCAGCCCTTCCCTTCCATATTACAACTTTTTATACTCTGTGTTTGGCTGCTTATGCACCTGGTGCTGCCACAAGTGGACAGAAATCATATCATCAGCTCTGTATAGACTCCAATACACAACTTGACACTTAGACAGGGTTTCCTTTCTTTGCTTCTAGCTTTTGAAGTGTAAGGGGAGTGAAAGGAAGGTGGGTTATGTGCTTGTTGTTGTGGCATTGAAGTGAACCTGTAAATTTACTTTGCCATAGGCAAAGCACAGGTTCATTTAAAAGTATAACTTAGGTGTGAAAATTAGCATAAAAATCCACAGAACTATTTTTGACATTTATAAAATGCTTTTAATTCATACTTTACTGTAACATTGTGTACAGGTAATTATCCCCTGACATGCTGTGTTTGTTCTGCTTACCCATAGTTTTAATATCATTATCATCTGGGATGCCTAATCACAGTGCCAGTATTCAGGTAATTCTACTTAATTGTCCTTATCCTTCAAGCATTTTTTCAGGTAGCCGTTAGGAGTGTTAAAAGCTATAGATTTGACAGTCTTGCTTGATTACCACTTGTTTTTTTTTTTTTTTCTTTTTTTTTTTTTTTTTTTGTGTTCCCCCAGTAAGTGACATTTGGTTTTTTCACTTTGTTGGTTATAGCAGAAAGTTATTCTAACCCATCTATTCTTTGTAGCTCTGTGTCCAGAAGTTAAGGATTCTTATTGAAGACTCTGACCAAAATTGTAAGTGAAGTTATAGGGAGATAAATTACAGATATTCCTTAGACTGCACTCCAAGCTTATAGTTTTGTGTTTGTTAACAGTGAAGTATTTGGGGTTGTTGGCTATGTCCAAAATCTTGAAGACCCATCCCAAATCTGTTCAGTCTCACAAGGACCTTATCCTGCAGTGTCTTGATGACAAAGATGAGTCCATAAGGTTGCGAGCCCTGGATTTGCTTTATGGAATGGTAAGGAAGTTTTATATCTAACTCATTTATTAAAAGACCATGATTGTGAAACGCAGGTAGTGTTTATGAAGAATCCATATCAAAATCTACAGACTACCATAAGAAAATTAAAGAAGGTTCTGAGGTAACAAGTTTTAGCTCAGTTGCTTGGCTAGTCTTAAAGATTATCACTAGAAGAAGGCATCTTCTTTTTCTTTTGATCGAATGCAGTGATATAAGACAGTGGGTTTTGCAAAATACAAAAGTATTTAAAAGTATTCTGCTCTGCTAGCCTCCCGAAAAGGACTTGGTAAACCTTCCAATTTACAGAAAAAGGCCTCTCAGTTGCACAAGTTTTCAAAAATATAATCATTTTTCTGCATTGCCACTTAACTGACCTATACGCTTGTCATTGAGTGAAATGCGGGGTCTGGAAACTGGTAGCAACATAAACTCACCAGCCACTTTATTAGGTACACCTTGCTAGGTTGGACTTCCTTTTGCCTTCAATACTGACTTAATTCTTCATGGCATAGATTCAACAAGGTTTTGGAAACATTCCTCAGAGATTTTGGTCCATATTGACATGATAGCATCATGCAGTTGCTGCAGACTTGTTGGCTGCACATCCATGATGAGAATCTCCCATTCCACCACATCCCAAAGGTGCTCTATTGGTTTGAAATCTGGTGGCTGTGGAGGCCATTAGAGCACAGTGAACTCATTGTCATGTTCAAGAAACCAGTTTGAGATGATTTGTGCCTTGTGACATGGTACTTCCTGCTGGAAGTAGCCATCAGAAGATGGGTACACTATAATCACAAAAGGGATGGACATGGTCAGCAACAATACTCGGGTATGTTGTGGCGTCTTTACGATGTTCAATTAGTACTAAGGGGCCCAAAGACAATATCCCCCGCACCATTAAACCACCACCACCAGCCTGAACCATTGATACAAGGCAGGATGGATCCATGCTTTCATGTTGTTTACGCAAAATAAATATATATATATATATATATATATATATATATATATATATAAAAAAAAAAAAATTATATAAACTAAGCGTTTGGTGTAGAGATTTAGTCATCAACACTTACTGTGTTGATGGTTGAATTGAGCCATTTTCTCCCAAAATTAAAAGTCAAAAACTACAAATACTGTAGCTGTTGACTTTAAATATGAGGACACTTACCCTTCCAGGAATCCAGCGCTGTCCTCACCTGAGCCGTTTCTTCATTTGGCTTCGGGTCCAGACGCCAGCATCTTAACTAAGGGAAACAGGCAGTGAAGCCTTGTGGGTTTACTGCCAGTTTCCAACTGCACATGCGCAAGCCGCACTGTGCTTTGTGAATGGTCCTGCAAGTCTTCTAGGACCTGTGATATGTCCCGAAAGGATGGGGGGCCAACGTCTGTTCAAACTGCCAAGAGTGGAAGCAAGTACCCACTCCCCTCTCCCCTCCTAAAAACTGCCAATTCTTAGAGGGGGGATGCTTTTAAGAGTAGTTCTGCTTTAAGGAACCTGGGAATCTAAACCAGAAAATTGTACAGAGATCTTTATAGCAGGGTTCTGACTCAAGATTGTCTGATAGGAATTACAAATCCTTTTTGCAGATAAATCAATTAACATATATGAATTTCAACTGTGTATTTGGCTATGTGCCAGTTTGGCTTTTATGCATTGTCTGATAAAATGAATGCTTTATTGCACAGGACCATTGTGGTGGTACAGTGACTGAGTTCATGAGTTGCCACTGATATTGTACTATAGCAAGAACAACTGATTTCTTTTGCAGTTTTGAAACAATGATTACTCATTCATAATGGTGTTTAATAAATAGTGGGTGGGAATTGAACCAAACTAGATCAGACAGAATATGGACCCGATGTCGATGGCAACCAATCAGCTTTTATTTTCAGCTTTGAGAATGGAAAACAGAAGCTTTTTTGCATGCACAGCTGCTCCAGTATCTGTTTGCTCCAGTTTTGATAAATCCTCAGTGACTAAAGTTCATCTTGTATAAAAATACAGACATAAATTGGTTATTACAGAAGGATTAATGTAGAACTATTGGCAAAATATCACAAGGGAAGGTTGTAACCCCTGTCAAAATGTTTTCACCCTCTGTGTCCCATTGCAGAGTTTTCCCTTTACTTCCTTTCCCTTAGCAGGACAGGAAGTTAGAGGAAATCTCTGCAAATTAAGTGAATTCCTTGGGGACCCCCGAATCACCAGAACTACTGTCCCCATTGGAATATTTCCCCTCTATTACTTTTTTGGGGACAACCCAAAATTTGGGATTTTTTTCTACTTTCACTCTCATTGATAATGGCAAACTGGACAAATAGGGTGAATCTCCTTAATGGGGACCCAGACAGCAATAAAAACTGACAAGCATTCTAATTCCTATCCAAAATTAGAAAACAAATTGTCTTTAGTTCTACTTTAAAGCTGAGGTTTATTCTGCTTATATTTTACCTTCTCTGGTTCCTCCTTTGCCCCACTTATCAACATACTTATGAAATGTTTAAATGATCCCTTTCCATTTTTATTATATTCCCTGTTTTAAGCCCCATGACATCATCACTCTGTGTCTATGTAACGTAGGCAGATAATGGTTGGTGGTCAAGAGAGTGCTGTACCTGGCTTTCTGAAAATAACATAGAATCCTACCTTTATACACCTCTTAAAAGCTCTGAGATCTAATGCAAACAGTTGGGCGGCAATTGGGAGTATTATGCAAATCAAAAATTGCCACCCTGGTGGAGTATGCATTACTAGGCAAGGTCGATTTACGTGTAGACTGCCCTAGATAATGTTCACAAGTGATGCAGAGCCTCCATTATTGACAGTACTCAAATCCAATGAACGCGAAAGCTTGGCCAGGAACTTCAAGTGTGAAGAGTAAAGCATTAGATGATAGTGGATGTTCTTCAGCCAGTAAACAAGTCAGGCTCTGACTTGCTGCAGCTTCTAATGCACACTGCAGTGAAATCATAGAAAACCATTTCAATACAGGAGAGGAACCTGTACATCTGTACAAGATCAAAGGTAAGGCTGGAGTTCGGCTCTAAATAAATGAGCTACGTGCCTAATATACACCATGCATATGCTGCTGATATAGCACAATGTTATGACAGTTGGGGTAAGAAGTGCAAAACGGCAGTGGATTGACAGGTGAATATTTTGTGTTCTGATACTTTGTGTGATATTTTTTTTGTATTTTATTTTTTGGTGTTTTTAATGTTTTGTACAGGTGTCAAAAAAGAATCTGATGGAGATTGTGAAGAAATTGATGATCCATGTTGACAAAGCAGAAGGAACTGCTTACAGAGATGAATTACTGACAAAAATTATAGATATATGCAGCCAATCTAATTACCAGTATATTACCAATTTCGAGTGGTAAGCAATGTTTACAGAAAAACATGTTTGACACATTTTCTCTTTTCTTTTTTTTTTGTTAGAGGGAGCCATGTGCATCATCAGTCTTATCTCTTTTATAGGTATATTAGCATTCTGGTAGAGCTCACACGTCTGGAGGGGACACGCCATGGCCACCTTATAGCTGCTCAGATGCTTGATGTTGCCATAAGAGTAAAGGCGATTAGGAAATTTGCTGTATCTCAGATGGCCACATTGCTTGATAATGCCCACCTGCTAGCCAGCAACACTCAACGCAATGGAATATGTGAAGTTCTTTATGCAGCTGCTTGGATCTGTGGAGAGTTCTCTGAGTAAGATATATATATATATTTTTAGTTTTTGATTTTTAGAAGCCGTTTAAAAAAACAAAACAAAATACCATTCTTTCCTTTTAAAGTGGAACTGTTGACAGAAAATGAAGTCCTGTTAGATCACGTCAGGCTGGCCCCTTTTGAATGTATAGCTATGTATAACGTCAAAAATAAGTGTCTATACTGTTTAAATCCAGTAATACTGTGGGGTTTATTAACTAAAGCTGGAGAGTGCAAAATCAGGTGCACTTCTGCATAGAAACCAATTACCTACCAGGTTTTATTGCCATAGCTTAACTGAACAAGTTGAGGTTAGAAGCTGATTGGCTACCATGCACAGCTGTACCAGATTCTGAGTGAACCAGATTTAGTAAATCTACCCTGCTGTCTCATCCTGCTCTGCAAATGCTCTGTTGCTCTCAATTTGTAGACACTGCCGTATTTGTAGAAGCCCATCTGCTTACAGCCTTAAAGCAGAATTAAACCCTCCCATTCTTTACATCCAAGGAAGCTGCTTGTTTGATCTGCAACTGCCACGGTGCTGCACATGTGATCATTTATGACACCAGCCAATGATGGTTTGACAGTTTGGTTGAGAGCACAAGCAAATGTGACCATTAGCAATCCTGGAATTCCAGGAATGTAACTGTTTTTTGAAACCGTTAAATCAATGGGTTTTCTTCTGCTTTATGTTTTACTGATGTTCAGGGGCTCTGATTTTGGTAAGATAATTATTAATGTGGAATGTATGTTCCTTGCTAAAGAGCATTACTTTTTGTCAAGCTGTTAAGTAAATCTTTGCTTCATTCTTCACATAACTGGGCCTTTTAATATTCCTGGCTATGTTCTCTTTCGGAGAGACAGGGTAAAAAGGAAAGGTGGTGGTGTCTGTCTCTATGTGGGAAGTGATCTCAGAGTGAGTGTAAAAGAGGGCTTAGTTGATGGAGAGTGTGATGAGGCTGAAGCATTATGGGTGGAACTGCACATGGGGGTGTGTACTACAAAGGTAATCATTGGAGTTGTTATAGGCCATCCAGTGTTAATGAGGAGGCAGAGACTTGGCTCTGTGCACAGATTGAAAGAGCTGCAAGGGCTGGGACAGTGATAATAATGGGGGATATTAACTATCCAGAAATTGACTGGAGTAATGGCACTGCAGGAAAAGTTAAAGGGCAAAAATTTATAAACCTACTACAGGACAATTTTATGGTACAGTTCATAGAGGCCCCAACTAGGAATGATGCTCTGCTGGACCTGGTAATCTCAAACCATGCAGAGCTTATTACTAATGTCCATATAAAAGAACATCTGGGTAGCAGTGACCATAACAGGATTTCATTTATTGTTAGCTGTAAACAGCAAGCACATACGGGGAAAAATAAATCCGCTCAATTTTAAGAGCTAATTTTCCAAGTCTGAGAGCCACTCTCCAAGACTTCGACTGGGAGGGAATATTGGCATCGGTGAACATAACATAGAAATGGGAGTTCTTCAAATAGACTGTATGTGAACACACTGCAAAATATATTCCCATGGGCAACAGGTTTAAAAGGCTAAAAATCAAACCTATGTGGCTTATGGCCAAAATTAAAAAAAAGCTATAAATAATAAGAAACACTTTTATTAAATATAAAAATTAATGAACGTTATTGTTTAAATGATACTAAGAATATAACAGAATATGTAAAAAGGAAATCAAAAATTGAAACGAACGACAGATTGCAAAAGATAGCAGGACAAATCCCCAAAAATTCTTCAAATATATTAATAGTAAAAAGGTTCAGTCTGAGCATGTAGGTCCTTTAGTGGGTGACTGGGGACAAAGAGAAGGCAAATGTATTAAATACCTTCTTCAGCTTCGTGTATACAAAGGTGCATGGGGGAGCTGTTCTCCATAATGGGCATGGTATTGACACAGCTCCAGATGATCCACATTGGCTCACAATTGATATGATCCAGAAATATTTAGACAGAATAAAGGTGAATAAAGCACCTGGACCAGATGGCATACACCCATGAGGCCTTAAAGAATTGAGCTCTGTCATTTTACAGCCGTTGTTTCTAATTTTTAGGGACTCTTTAATGACTGGCATAGTACCACTGGATTGGCGTAAGGCCAATGTGCCTATATTTAAAAAGGGCTCAAAATCTTTACCAAGTAATTACAGACCTGTTAGTTTAACTTCTATAGTTGGGAAGATACTGGAGAGTTTAATAAAAGACCACATAGATGAGTTCTTGCTGGAAAAAAATATTTTGAGCAGCAGACAGCATATGGATTCATGAAAGACAGAGGTTGTCAAACAAATCGGATTGCTTTTTATGAGGAGGTGAGCAAAACCTTGGACAGAGGGGTGGCTGTGGACGTTGCATACCTGGATTTTGCAACCAGCATTTGACACAGTTCCCCACACACGGCTAATGTGTAAGGTAAAGTCTACAGGCTTGGAAAAATCCATTTGTAAATGGATAGAAAACTGGCTGAAAGACCGAATTCAGACAGCAGTGGTTAATGATTCATACTCTGAATGGTCTAGGGTTGTCAGTGGTGTACCCCAAGATTCAGTGTTGGGACCCTTACTTTTTAATATATTTATAAATGATATAGGGTCTGGGATTAAAAATATAATTTCAGTCTTTGCAGATGACACCAAACTGTGCAGTGAAATAACGTCCTTACAAGATGTCTTCAACTTACAAGCTGACCTCAATGCACTGTTTAATTGGGCAACTATGAGGCAAATGAGGTTTAATGTTGATAAATGTAAAGTTCTGCACTTGGGGGCTAAGAATATGTATGCACCATACATACTAGGGGGGGGGGGGGGTACAGCTGGGGGAATCAGTGGTGGAGAAGGATCTGGGAGTTCTAGTAGATCACAAGCTTAATAATGGCATGCAATGCCAAGCTGCGGTTTTTAAAGCAAGCAAAATCCTCTCTTGTATTAAGAGGTATAGACTCCAGAGAGAGAGATATCATATTAGCCCTGTACAAATCATTAGTAACACCTTGTCTGAAATATGCAGTTCAGTTTTGGGCACCAATTCACAAAAAGAACATTGGGGAACTGGAGAAAGTGCATAGAAGGGCAAACAAACTGATAAGAGGCATGGAGGAACTCCGCTATGAGGAAAGATTAGAGGAACTGAATTTAATCTCTCTTGAAAAGAGGAGATTAAGGGGGGATATGATCAACATGTATAAATACATCAGTGATTCATATAGTGAACTCGGTATACAGTTATTCACCCTTAGGTCATCACAGATGACAAGGGGGCACTCTTTACATCTGGAGGAAAAAAAAATTTAATCTCCAAATACGGAAAGGTTTCTTCACAGTAAGAGCTGTGAAAATGTGGAATAGACTCCCTCAAGAGTTGGTTCTGGCCAGCTCAGCGGATTCCTTTAAAATTGGATTCTTTCCTAGATACACATAATATAACTGGATACTAACATTTATAGGTAAAGTTGATCCAGGGAATATCCGATTGCTTCTCGGGCAATCAGGAAGGAATTTTTTTTCCCAGCAGGAGCAAATTGGATCATGCTTTGCTGTTTTTTTGCCTTCCTCTGGGTCAACGGAGTATAGGATTATAAGTTTTTTTGTTTTTTTTTCTGGGTTGATCTGGATGGACTTTTGTCTTTTTTCAGCCAGACTAACTAATGTAACAATGTAAGTGTAACGTTCCACTTTAAGTTTTGGTGGATGTGATTAATGTTAGTATTTTTAAAACCCTTTCTCTTTCTAATTTTGTAATTGTGTGTACATGTATATAGTTTATTTTTCTTATTTGTACAGTACAGGACACTGGAACCTTTAGTAAAACATTGGGTTGTATACAACTACTTTCATGGTGATTGGACACTCAGGGGGGTGGGGGTGGAAGCTTGCAGGGACATCCCCTCTATAACACTTCCCACTCCCACTTAGCCTCAGTTTTTTGCTAGTGTACCTAGGTGTTGGACCTCTTCTCTGTACTGTGAGAGGCTTGCTTCTTCACTTTTGGAGGCTTTTTTTTGCAAAGCTTATTTTGCTCTCAAGATTCCTGGCTGCACCATTGCCACTCTGGTTCGTTCTGCAGCTTCTGGATCAGTGGACTCCTGAGCTGAGCCTTGGGGTACCAAACTTGGACCTTGGATGAAGATGAAAGGCCAGCCTATAGTGTTGCTTCAGGCACTGGATTCTGTGTGGGAGCTTACTATGGCACATGGTGCATTGCGTTGAGTTACCTGCAGCATGCTATATAGGTCAAGGGACATGGTCTGTTGGCAACAGAGCCCTGTCTCACCATGGAGGGTGAAGTTAGGATGGGGTTTCATCTCTCCTACCCTGTTTGGAGGGTGAAGCTGTCTGCCAGGAAGTGCAGGGATGCTGTGACACTTTAATCGTTTTCAAGGCCATGGATGGTAGCTCACTGCCATTTAAATTGTCACTATATTTTTCGCCTTCAGTCTGGCGCAAGCCTCCTTCATTTGGTGCTACTGTACCTGCATGGCCTTGGTTTCAGCTGCTTCACTGAGCAATGTGCATGCCATTTTCTTTCTCTGGGCAGGCTTTCTCCTGAACGCTCCCTCCACACTGCAGAACAGCGATCCCTGGACACTTTCCTGGGTTCAGCAGCTTAAATGCATGGCTCAGAAGACTTGCCCTTTCCACATCAACCTTAGTCATAAGTACCCCTCTGATTATATTTACATTGCGCATGGTAGTTAACAAGTGCTGGGTCACACTCCGCATATGGCTTGACTGGTAGTCTATCTGCACTGGGCCCTAGTACCCCCTTTGGATAGTTGCCTCCAGTCTGCCTTCTTGCCTTCCTTTGGTGACTCCAGTGATTCTTTGCCAGCTCAGCCTTCCTCCTGTCTATCAAGGGAGGCATTTTCTGCCACAATGTTTGAGTTCATGAGCATAATTTATGCCCTTTTAGAGGCCAAAGTTAATGGGGTTTGCAAGTGAGCCCCTTCAGTCTCCCTCTTGGGTCAATCTCTGACTTTGCCTAGGCTATAGCCACACTGCCTGAGGTGGAGGTACACAAAGATGATCCCCATTCCCCTTCTAAGGATTTGGAATAGGGTCATTTGCCTTTGCCTAAAATTTCATCCAAGGATACCATTTGCTACTCTTATTGATGCAGTATTCTCTTGTTTAGCATTAGGGCAGCCTGAATCTGCTCACCCCATGGTCTCCAGCCTAGATTCCCTACAGTTATCAAGCCTGCTAAGAGTTTTTCGGTCCACTTGCTCTTAGAGCCCATTTTATATGGTCACTGGCCTTGCTCTGAAAAGCTGTTTGCTTCTTTTAAATGTTTTTCTCAGCAATATCCTATCAAGTTTGTATACCCTCTTCCTAACACCTTGGCATCACATTCTTTGTATTCCCTTTTGCAAAAAGTTGCTCTTGTTCATCGCTGATACGATTTTCTTTGTCCCTCGCCTTCCCCAGATGCTCTTGGCAATGCCGAAACCCCCTTTTATGCCCAAAGGACCTAATTCCTTTATAAGGGCTTCTATAAGAACGGAACAGTCTTCTCTTCTTTAATCATAACAGTTGTAGTTCAGCCTTGGAGGCCTCGTGTCCCTTCTTTTCTTATGCTACATGGGATCATGCCCAGCTGGGTGGATATTCTGCTTTTCTTCCAGGTCGTTTGCCCTCTGGGAACTGCCTGTTTTTCTATTCATGTTTTTGAAACCTGTATTTTGACAGGTGGCTGTTTGAGCTTCTGTTCTCTTCTTCAGCTGCAAGGCGCTTATTCTGTCATCTCTCTGTTTAGGTTCCTTTTACCCTTCTCGTTCCTGCTTCAATTTTGGCTCCCACCTCTCGATTTTATTGCTTTGGAGGGGGCACCCCATGGTGTAAGAATCTACGCCTGTCCTGTACTGTATGATTAAGTTAATAGACATTTTGATGTACCTGTAAATTTCATATCTTGGAGTACAGTACAAGGCACAGGTCCCTCCCCTTCCTCTTACTCTGTGATCTTCTTACTACTTGCTACAAAACTAGAGCCTCATGGAGTAGGTGAGGTTATATGGGTACATTGGGGTGGCGGTTCTTAGACCATGGTATATGCTGCTGCTTTCAGGTGATTGGACACTGGCAAAAATTTTAAGAATAAACTTCTGTCTCTTGTTCTGTGCTCCATGATATAGAATTTACAGGCACATCAAATTCCTGTTTTTCACTGGTGCCAGTCTGCGGAGTCAGCTGGGTAGATGTGAGGTGAGAGGTTATAGCTCCAAGGGACTGGCCTTTAGTGTTATATAAGCTTAATGTCCATTTTTCTTTTTCTTCAGCGGTGTATATGTGCTGGCTAAGTTAAAGCAATCATGGGGCAACCTAGTTGTTCAGTTGTTGCTTTGTAATTTCACAAAGGCTGCAGGTATTCCTGCCAAGGTCTTTACTTTTTCAAAGGGTATACCTTGTTTACCTTATTTCATACTCCCCAGCAGAGTCATATGCCTTTTTGTTTTGCATTTTCTGATTGTTTTCTTTTTTATCTTTTCCAGACACTTGACAGAACCTCACCAGACACTGGAAGCTATGCTGAGGCCGAAGGTCACTACCCTGCCAGGTCATATTCAGGCAGTTTATGTTCAGAATGTGGTGAAGTTATATTCTGGTATTCTCCAGTGCAAAGAAGGGGATGGAGATCATCAAACAGCACAGGAGATAACACAGCTTATGGTTGAGAGGCTTCCCCAATTTGTGCAGAGCGCTGACCTGGAAGTTCAAGAAAGGGTAATAAATTTAATTTGGTTGGCAAGTTTCCCTATCTAATGCTGATCCTAAAATCTGAAATGAGATTTCAACCTCACAAGAGAGCAGTATTTTCATTTGGCCAACTAATACAGTGCCTTTAAGGTAGTTTTGTGCATTATTGTTATAGAACTTTGAATTACAGTGGATTAATATTTGGGGTTTTTTATACTGATTAACCAGAACCAACTCTTTCATGTCTAAGTGAAAGTAAACTTCTGTTATTTAAATTGTTTATAGTGTAAAAGCATAAAATAACTGACTGCGTAAGTAAAGACTCACTTTATTATGACACACCTAAATCATCAATGGTGCCACCAGTTTTTCTTTATCATACATCTCGGGACATGTGGTATCTTCATCTCCATTATGATAGAATTATGATCCTACCTGCAAGTGATTAGACACCAACAAAACAAAACAAAAATCCCTGCCCAGGCATAATTTCTCTCAGCTAGGCATAGCCTCAGTTTTTTATACTGTATTAGGTGATGGCCATGTGTGTGCAGTCTCTGCACAAGTTATTCTTTTCTAGTTTATTCTCAAAATTTACATCATGAAATAGGAGACTGGCGGCTTATCAGGAACTGTTACCTTTGATTTTTGCTAAGGTGGGATAGTAGCCAGACCCTATACTGGGAATGTAGGATGGCTTGTATCATTGCCCTTTGGCAATGGACTCTGTGTAACAGGACCCCTCCCCCCTCTGGGTCAGCACTGTCTGGTGCATGCACTGTTGGAAGCCCTCCAATGCTGGTACTCTGAAATACCTTCTGACCCCTTAGTGTCTGCCTTAGCCCTCGTTTTCACCTTTCCTTTTAGCCACAGCGTTGTGTGTATTTTATTTGGTGTTTTTACTGGCTGCCCCGAGCACTACATTGCTGCTGTTATGGAGTTTAGAGGCCATCATCCAGGAGGCCGTTGGTGCCACTTTGGGGGGGAAGCGTCTTCTTCTCTTCCCCCATCTGCCTCCATTTTGGGAACCTTTTCCACTTGTGAAAAGATGGACTGCTAGCAGTAAAGGCAGGACTTTTCTTTGGGTAAAGTCTCTCCCAAAGTGTTTAAACGCACCTGCTCCTCTCAACTGCTTTAGTACTGCTACTTAGCACACATCTACACTTGTATTGTCAGCAGGCCATGCCTCAACAATGGCAGAGGGGAAGGGGGTTGGGAAATCAGGCAGGAAAGGATCCCGAATTAATTTATCAGATAGGAAAGAACCTGGACATAGCACTTCTTGCAATATGTCCCCTGGCCCTCAGTTCTATGTGGCTCTGACTTCCTCTGCTTATATAACCATTGCCACCCTCTGGAACACCTTCCTCCAGTTGCGTTATGTCAAGGGAGGAATTCAACATCTACTGTTTAAGACTATCTCTCCAAGGTCTTTCCATTTAGACCTTCTTGATTGGAAGCAGAAATGCCCCCTTTCACCTCCTCGCTCCCTGTTGATGGGGAATTTTCTAGAGAATGGAGAGGCGGAAGATTTCTACTCTTGAAGAATCCCAGGGTACAGTTTTATCTCAGACCCAAAAGGCCTTTGTGGGTTTTCTTGCAGAAGTGGTCTGGACTAATTTAAAATTAGTGCGGACAACTACCACCGCATCCCTGTATATATGCACTTAACGGATGTGTTATTGGTGAACTGGGCCCACCCCAAAAGGTCTTTGGTTCACCAAAATGATTTGCTCATTGATATCCCATGGGAAATTGGTTTAACAGAAAATGGAGTATGCCACAAGTAGATCCGGCAGTTTCCTATCTCAATAAGACCCTTGCAGTTCCAGTGGTCAAGGTAAATGTATTCAAGGATGCTTTGGACAACCACCTGAAGACCCTATTTAAAGCCCTCTTTGCTGGGATGGCCTTACAACCTGTGGTTGCAGCTGTAGGAGTGCGTCTAAGCCTCAAGGTTTGGACCCTAACCATGGGGATACAGAGTCAGGGAGATGCCTGGAGGATTTTCCATATATCCTTAGTTTTTTGGTGGATGCCTTTTAAAAGAATCCATTTAACACATTTCTCGTTTGGGTGTCTTGTCTGTGCTCATGTCTTCTGTCAAATCTTGTCAAATCTTATGGCTAAAGTGTTGTATGAAGCAGGTTGAATATTTATATTTTCATGGGGATCATTTGTTCAGTCCTGCCTTGGATGATTACTTCCAAAAGGTAACTGTGGGCAAGAGAACCCTGTTGCCTATTTAAGAAGAAGTTGAAAATCCCACTACCCCTCTCATTTGCAAAAAGCATACCTGTCTGTCCATGGAGTGGCTCAGGGTTACCAGCTGGAATGTCAGAACCTTCCCCCTCCACACTTTATGCTTCCAAATTGTTACTTGCATCCTCAGAGAAGTGCAGTCAATTTTTTTTTCAGGCTCTCGATCGCCTGCTATCACAAGGGTTGATTGCTCTGGTTCCGAAGAGCAAAATATTTCTACTCAAACTTTCTCAGGATTCCCAAGCTGAACTGCAATTCTGGATCTCAAGAAGCTTAAAAGATGTCTCCAAATGCAAAAGTTTCATGTGAAATCTGGTCAGTAATTGCCTCCCTCCAGCAAGGTGACTTTCTAAAATCTGTGAATATTAAAGTGTTACTAAACACAGGACCCTGCATTCGCTATATCTAGTCTCCCACAGTACACAGAACATGGAAGTGCAATTATTTTAGTAAATATAAACTGCTAAATACCTTTCCTCATCAGCAACTAGAGCAGTCTTGTGTCTTCTATCAGTGTTCAGCAGAGCACTGGGTAAAGCTTGTAGGAGGAGTTTTCTTTGTGATCTAGGAGGATGCAAAACCCCTGACCTCTGTCTGGACAGTGCAGATTGGCCCTGTGCTGATCACATGCACTCTCCAAAGAAGAAAAAAAAAAAACCTCTCTAGCAATACACACTAAACTGAGCATGTGCATGTGGCTACAGGTTCAGTCTGTCTTATCAGGAGATAAGATGTGGATATTTGAACAAGAGGAGGGGCAGAGAAAACAGGATCAAACGGCCTTTTTACACAATGTAGAGGATTAAATTCTTAGGTTCTACAGGGAGTATAACAAGCATGCTTTACTGCATATACAGACTGATTTTACTGTTGTGGGTTTAGTAACACTTTAAGGATGCATATATCTGCATATCTGCTTTTGATCCTTGGTGGATTGACCAGATCTCCTGTCATAAGGTGTGATCTTCTATCCTCCTTTATAGTCACAGGCTTTAACAGAATTGCTGTTAAAGCCAGGGTCTTTAGAGAAAGGTGTGTGTATCCGATTTGATTCTCTCTACCTTTCTGGGGGCTAGGCAAGTAACTTTGGGGAAGATTTACCATTGAATTTGGAAGTTGTATTTTGCCAGTTGTGATGCACAAGAACTTCATTCTGGTGTTTCCCCAATCGGGAGGTAACCAGAATCTGACTGGGTACATTCAGAGGGCAGATTTTAGCCTTGGCAGTTTCCTTCCAAATTTCCATTGCTTTGCATTTCTTGGTGTGTACCTTTTGTACAAGGAGGTCACTTGATGGTATATTTAAAGCACACACACTCAAGGACAATCTCCAAGGAGGGTTCATCAGGGTTTAGTTACTTAAATAGGCATATTGACTTCATCTCTATAGGAGGAATGTCAATAGGTTCAAGACATAGGTGTCCTAGAGATTCCTAGTGATCTGTATCTGGTGTATCACTGGTAACACTTGAGTGCAGAATGTTTAAATTACAGGGCAATTCCAGAATATGTGTAACAGGTTTCTGTGAGGAGCTTTGCATCTCGGGCACCTGTGATTTGCGTCTGGGTATATGCGCGCCAGGACACAAGGGGGTTTATTTACTAAAGCTGGAGAGTCCAAAATCAGACTCCTTTCTGCATAGAAACCAATCAGCTTCCAGGTTTCATTGCCAAAGCTTCATTGAACAAGCTGAGGTTAGAAGCTGATTGGTTTCTATGCAGAAGGGAGTCTGGTTTTAGACTCTCCAGCTTTAGTAAATAAACCCCAAGGTGTCCGGTGAAAACTTGTCATGACTTAGTTAAGTTCTTGGAAATTATTGATGATGGACTCTTTTTATGCCAGAATAGGATTGTATGTTCCTTTGTTTTTTCTGTGAATTACTTTTTCTTTATTCCATCATTAACCATGATATTGTGTCGTCTTCCTTCTGTCTCAAGCCTCAGATGCCAGGGGACTTCATACCTTGGATGTGGTTTGTAGTTGGTTAAGAATTACCTAAAGTTGACTGCTGCAATTTGTCAGTATGATTCCCTTTGTGCTTCCTGAATGCCCAAGGAAGGCTCATGCAGCTTTCAAATCCTCCATTTCTTGTTGGATCCGCAGCTTATTTCTCAAGCTTACAGTTTAAAAGGCAAAGTTCTGCATCTCTCAGTGATGGCTCTTTTTACCAGAAAAGTTGATGCTTCCTAGGCTATTCAACATCATGCTTCATTAGTTCAATTTGTAAGGTTGTTACCTGGTCATTGGTCCATATTTTTAATTAAGTTTTAGCAGGTGAACGTTTGGGCCTCTGTGGATGTGACATGTGGTAGGCAAGTTTTGCGGCTGCTGTGTGAGGCTCTAACCTGTTCTTGTTTTTTTGGGGGCTTGTTGCCCTCTCTTCATATTTAGTGCTTTGGGACATCCCTATCATAATAGATAGGAAGTTAAACTGTACTCGGATGTTCATGAAAGAAAATGGGATTTTTGGTTTTCCTGTAAAATACTTTTCTTGGAGAGCACAGGACCAAGGGATCCCACTTCTCTTCCTTTGCTGTTTCATGGCTTGCTTCAAAACTGAGGCTGTGACCAGCTTGGTTTTCCCTGGGCAGGAACTCCAGTGCGGGTTCTGGAAACTATTGAAAAGCTGTAGGCATTGGGTTTGAAAAAGTCAGTCTTCTAAACCCAGATGGAAGCGTTGAGAAGCTAGGTATGGTTCCATGCAGAGACTGCACAGACATGACCATCACCTAGCAAAAAAAAAAAAAAATAAGCCTTGCCTGAGGGGAGGGGTTATGTTTGGGAGGGGCCTTTATTTGTCATTGTTTATTCACATGAAGATAGCAGCTGAAGCTGTGTGTTTTAATGATCAAATATAGCTGCTCCAATGTTCATGTACTTTACAAAGTATACATGGAAACAAAGCTTCAAACACATTAACACACATTTAAATGATTCTATACATGTTCATGGTCCTCTCCCCATAATGCATTGTCTGGGCCTAAAGACCAGTCACTAGGACTGACCATTTTTGGATGGCAAAGCTGGTGACTTAAGCACTCCCTCTAATCGAACAGCAGCTAACACGTGTTTAGCGGTGACTGTGTAAGAGGTGGGGGAAAACAAGTGCTTGGAGAGTTGAGTATAGGATGGTTGGGAGGTGGATTTTACACTGACCCCTCCTTACCACAGCATGAGAGTATGCTGTCCACGAGCCCAGGGGACCATCAACTAAATAGTTAGGCTTTAAATCCCATTAGTTGTTGCTACTTCTTTCACACAAGCTATAAGTAAAAGTAGAGATTTTCACTATTACATGTCTTAAATGCAAGCCATTTATTTATAATTACTATTTTGGTTTGTGTTTTTGCAGGCTTCTTGTATTCTTCAGCTCATGAAATATATCCTGAAGTTACAGACAAAGGAGGTTCCAGTAGCTGAGGAGGTGATGGCTTTGTTTGCTGGAGAACTGAATCCTGTTGCTCCAAAAGCTCAGAAGAAAGTACCTATCCCTGAAGGGTATGTGACACACACGCACACACACTAGCACACACACTCGCACACACACGCACACACACACTAGCACACACACACTAGCACACACACTAGCACACACACACACTATAGCACACCCTTTACCCACACACACTTATTCTATAGCACACTCTTTACCCAGTGTTCAGTTATAATATAAATCCACATTTATACGTATGGGATTATTATTATACAGGAGTTATATAGCGCCAACAGTTTGCGCAGCACTTTCCTTATAAGAGTTTACAATCTAATAGGGATTAAAAAAAAACAAAAAACCTTTGTTAGCTTGGTTTTGCAGTGCTGTGACCACTGCAACATCCATATAGAACCAGCACATACTATGACACTACTTAAATTTTATAGTAAAGCTTAAACTTTTTTTTTTTTATTTTTTTATTAACCACTTGCCTACTGGGCACTTTTACGCACCTTTCTACCCTGGCCAATTTTCTGCTTTCAGCGCTGTCGCACTTCGAATGACAGTTGCACGGTCATGCAACACTGTACACACATGAAATTTTTATAATTTTTTTCACAAATAGAGCTTTCTTTTCGTGCTAATTAATCACTACTGGGTTTTATTTTTAGCAATATAAACAATAAAAGAGCTGGGAAAAAAAGGTTTTCTTTTGTTTCTATTGTAAAATTTTGCAAACGATTAATTTTTCTCCTTCACTGATGTTCGTTAATGAGGCTAGACTGATAGGCGGCACTGGTGGGCATTGATGAGGAGGCACTGATGATGCTGCACTGATAGGCGGTACTGATGATGCTGCACTGATGGGCACTAATAGGTAGTGCTGACTGAAGGCACTGATAGGCAACCATTATGGGCACAGATTGGCAGCACTGCTGGGAACTAATGGGCAGCACTGTTGGGCACTTTTGGGGATGCACTGATAATCGGGGCACTGATTATCAGTGCAGATGTCTGCTTTGTCAGTTGCCTGTTATCAGCAGTACTTTCCTCACGCTGTGACTGCTGATAACCACCAAATGTATTTACTTAATGGTCAGCTGTGATTGGACACAGCTGATCACGTGGCAAAAGGCTGCTGTGATTGGCCTTTTTCTATGTCATATGATCAGCTGTGTCCAAAGGACACTATGATCACAGACAGTGCCGCTGGGGGCACGTTCTGGGAGGACATAAGACGCCCTCCCAGAACTGGACTACCGTGCTGTAGCCGTCATTCAGCTATAACGCGGTAGCTAGGTGGTTAAAATAATAAACGTTATACTTAACTGCGCTGTGTAATGGTTTTGCCAGAGCAGACCCAATACTTTTTTTTTTTTTTTTCTTCTTCTTCTTCTTGGGTCCCCCTCCAGTGCTCCTGTCTCTTCTTTGGCGAATGCCCCATAGAAAGGCGCTTTCTATAGGGGTACTCGTGGACTCGCTCCTGAGCCGCCTTACCTGGGTTTATTGACACAGACAATGCAGCTCAACCCTGTTCCCTCGTCACAGAATTTGATTGATTGATAGTAGGAGCCATTGGCACCAGCTGCTATCATCTGTTCAGTGAGGAGTGAGGCAGCCGCTGCTCTTGTGCATATCATTGGATCGAGATTGGGCTCAGGTAAGTATAAGCGGGGGTGCGGGGGATTCTGTAGCACGGTACTTTTTTTTACCTTAATGCATAGAATGGCGATCACCTCCTTGCACCTAACTCCTTGTATGCCAACAGATTTTAACAGTCTTATTTTTCCTAGGAGTTCTGTAACATTTCCATTTTTCTTTACTGTTTGCAGCTTAGATTTGGATGCTTGGATCAATGAGCCACCATCAGATAGTGAATCAGAAGATGAAAAGCCCAAAGCAATATTTCAGGATGAAAAAACAGACACACGGGAAGTCTTCTCGACCAGAAATAGATGAAGAAGAGTTAGCAAGGGTAAGGAAATGTACATCATACACGTTGTTGTTATGAGACTAATACCAGACACAATGGCTCAATTACACAGCTAATTTTCAGTGACATAAATTTAATTTTACAAGCTCATTTAACAAAACCGTGCAAGAAACAAAGCATAGTACGCTTATCCATTACCACAGCTGCTACTTTTTTGTCATTTAATGTTTTGTCAATAAGGATCTCTTCACAAAGGCGCTTGACTACATGCCCCATGCAGGTCTGTGTTTTCCTGCCATGGGGATGCGCAGGTGTTGCATACATCCCTGTTGTGGTAGTTCATTGAAGTCTGTTTAGACGCGCGACTGCATGAACAGAGCTACTATGTCCCGATTCTACATGCAAGTACCTCCGGTCATAACGCATCACAGATGGGGGTACAGGGCCACTGTGATTGGTCCTGTACTATGTGATTGATGTGACCAGTCCCAGCAATGACATTAACAGTAGTAAACAAAAGTTGTTCATGCAGCTGTTGTGTACTACTGTGATGCCTGTTATTGCTCACAACAATCACATGGTACAGGACCAATCACAGTGGCCCTATACCATGCGATGGCTGTGACCAGTTACAGAGATCACAGTAGTAACAATGGCTGCATGAATGCAGCTGAGCAGTGACAGGAAAGTGATTGATTATACTGTCACTAGAGCAACATTGTGTGTAAGAATAAAAAATTGTTAATTCACACTTATTCCCAGCCAGTGAACATGGCATTCCTGGGAACAGTCATGTTCCAATAGGCTAGACCTGTTTTCTTATAGGGTCAGCAACCTGTAGATCGTGATCTACAAGTAGATTGTGGCCAGTTGACTAGTAGATCACCATCTGGGCTTGCTGACCCACCATTCGGGAGCATCAAGCAGAGTGCAATGCAGAGGGACTACTTGTAAAGCTGGAGCTGTTGTAGGGAGCAGGAGCTGCATAAGCCAATGCCTCCTCTGTAGTGCTGGCTTCTCTCCCATGTGGAGTGATACCAACTGCTCTCCTCCTCTTATCCCAGCTTGCGGTAGAGTTCTGCCAGCAGCAGGAAAGAAGAGATCTTCAGGTCAGTGTGAAGCAATACACTGGGCATAATAGTATAAGGCTGCTTTCATACTGATGTTCTGAGGTTTACCCACACCGCGAGTGCAGTTCAGTATAACTGCAGCTTTCCTGAGGGTTTTCTGCGCTTAGCCATAGACTTCTATTATATCCTGCACTCTTCTTAAAAGCGATCTGAGTGTGTTTGACAGGGTGTGAGGAGACGATATGTTGCCTCTTCACCAGCTAATTTAAACCCATGATTACAGTGAAATGCACTCGATTGCGACACAGTAGTACAGCAATTAGAGGTTTAAATCTGGTGTGAGGAGGCGGCATTGTGCCCGCTTATCTTCTCCCATGTTGTTTAGGTAGATCTCCACCTCTTTAAGGGTGACTGCCACTGGCTTGTAGGAACATTAAGGAGTTCAGGCTAAAGCCATAACTTTACCCCTCTATATAATGACTAGGTTACAGAGTACAGTGTTTCCACTTTCTGTTTTCCAATATTTTTCTGCTTGCCTGGATGAGCTAGTTTAAACGTTGGCACCCAATCTGTGTTTTGGACTTCAGGAGGAAGTCTTGTAGTACTTTGAGTATATTTTTGCATATGGGTTATAGGAATAGAGCCTTATATATAGGGCACTACATTAAGCTCCCTGACCACTTGTATAGACACGACCATTACATTTTGACACAATTGGTTGATTTGTTTGATACACAAGATACAATGTCTGGTACAAAATCAGCCCAAACAGTGAAAAATTAAGTCTTCAAAAGACTCGCCATGCCTCTTAGAAAATACATGTTTGCTTTCAAAATGGGGTCATTTTGTGGGTATTTCCATAGTTTAGGTGCTCCAGGGCCTCCAAAATGTGATGGGTAGTCAGGAAATTAAATTTGTAATTAAGGCCCCTAGAACCTCTGAAAGTACTCCTTGAATCATAGGCCCCTCTATGTGGCTAGGCTGTGAAAAAGTTTTACACGTGGTATTGCCATACTCTGGAAGAGTAGCAGAATGTGTTTTGAGGTGTAATTAAATATGCCTATGATGTGTGATAGAAATAGCTTATTAATTGACAACTTTGTGTAAAAAAAAAGTGTGTGTGTGTGTATATGTATGTATGTGTGTGTATGTATGTATATATATATAAATAATAATTACATTTTCTTTTCACATTTTCCAAAAACTTGTGGCAAAAATTACATTTTTAAAAGACTCACTATGCCTTTGAATATGGACGTTTTGTGGGTGTTTCCTCTGTTCTGACACTTCAGGGACTCAAGAAATTAAATATGTAATTGTACATGTAATATATTCTCATTGAAAACCCAAAGGTGCTCTTTGGTTGTCGGGCCCCTCTATGCATCTAGGCCAGAGGTTGTCCACTTAAGAGCAAAAGGGGGCCTCAAATGCAGCCTTTGACTTCACCAAAGGGGCTGCACGTAATGTTTAATTGATGTAATGCTTGAGAGGACTGTCAGAAACTGCAGAACTAATAGAGGAAATGAAGGTCAGAGAGTCAGAGTAACGTTTTTGGCTTAGGATATGCTACAGAAGACAATACAAAACTGGGAACCTTTTACATGAGGCTAGTAGAGTTCAATGCTATTACCCTAATCAATATTCCCACTAGGCTGCTGAGGTCCCAGGGCCACGCAGGGATTTCTAGGCTTTGAAAAAGCCTCACACATTTGGTATCCCCACACTCAGGATGTGTAGCAAAATGTGTGTTGAGGTGTAATTGTAAGTATGCCTATGCTGTGCATGAGAAATAACTAGACATCCTTTTTTTTTTTTTTTTTAATTTCATTTCAATTTAAAAAAAATTGTGACAAATTTACAACTTAAAGCTCACCATGGCTCTTACTAAATACCTTGGACTGCCTACTTTCCAAAAAGGGGTCATTTGGGGTATATTTGTACTGACCCAGCATTTTAAGGCCTGAAGAAATGATATAGGCAGTCAGTACATCAGGACTGTTCAAATTTCAAATATATATACATACATACATACATACATACATACATACCATAGTTTGTAGACTCTATAACTTTCACAAATAATATACACTGCATTGGGTTATTTTTTCCAAAGAAATGTACCAGAATACATTTTGGCCTATATTATCTAAAAAGATTATTTATTTGCAAAATTTTGTAACTAATCCTAGGACAAACTTTTTTTTTCTTTTTCAAAATTTTCGGTCTTGTTTCCTTTTATGTAACAAAAAAAAAAAACTGGTGATTAAATACCACCACAAAAAAGCTCTATCTGTCTCAGCGGATAGAAAATTAATTTGGGTACATTGTTGCATGACTGCGTAACTGTCATTCAAAGTGTGACAGCACCGAAAACATAAAAATGGCTTAGGCAGGAAGGGGTGAAACAGTCCAATCTTGAAGTTGGTAAAGGGAGGACTGTTCAACAACGATGGTCAAGGCTCTGTTAAGTTGAGAGAAGGAAGTCGACCATGGGAGTTGTAGAGCATTTCTTGAGAAATTCTATGCAAAGGGATAGCCTTCTAGGAACCAAATGGGCAAGAATTTGTTTTACTGGATATTCCCAGTTTTGTTGATGAGGAACCACTTGGTGGAGTGGAGCATTTATGTCTGAGAACTGAGCCCAGGCACCATTAAACCCCAGTTAATCAGTGGGAACCATAAGATGAACCTACTGAGATATAAACTTGCCTAACAGAAGAGAACATCTTCACTGTAAGACAGGAAGTTGAACAAGTCCCAAAGATGAAAAAAAAAAATGGTGGGGGGCAGGGTCAAAATTGCTACTAGCACATGTGTATCCACCTAGGATCTCTGAGGAACACAAGACCTTGCACTTTTGTTCAAAATGGATACTGAATAGATGGGTTGCCTGCAGTCACAGGATGACTGCACTTTCGTTCAGGTCCAGATATGTTACTAACAATCAATCAAAGAAGCCACCAGACTCCCCTTATTCACTATCCATTAAATGCAGTATGCTGTGCTCCGGAAAAAGAGTCTGCCTGGAGTGCTTGTGATACATTTTTTTCATGGTCCCAACTATCCAAGGGCACAAGGATACAACGGGAAAGTAAGATCCCATGTTTTAAAGAAGTCTTCCATGGCTATGATGGCATTGAAGCATACTAAACCTGCAAATGGTAGGTCCTTCATAAGTGAATGCTGACATATGGCTTTAAACACATGCTTGTCAGTCTCACATGGTTGCACTGGTTATCAAGGAACCTAAGCTGTAAGCTGTGGTGGCTTCACCAATACTGTGAAAAAAAGTCTGCATATGCACCAACACCTCCACAGTGCTGTGTCATTAACCACTGTAATACTGGATACTTTCACCCCCTTCCTGCCCAGAGCAAATTTCAGATTTCAGTGCTGTCACTTTGACAAATCGTCTTGTACCCAAATACATTTTTTTTTAGATAGAGCTTTCTTTTGCTGGTATTTAAAGTGGAACTACACTGCATCTGAGCACTATTTAATTTATCTTAAATATTCAAAGCAGATTCACCCATCCATCCATGTCTCCATGCTTTATTTTGTTGAGAAATCATTTTGAAAAACTTTTCTGGTCATAGCCATCTTGAGAAAGGGAAGATGATTCATGTAGCATTTACTTCCTGGAATCCATCTGCTCTTAGTTCAGACATGCATGCAGGAGGCTGTGCTTAGCTGAGAAAACCCTCCTCCCTTCTTGAAGACTCTTGTAATGTATGACATCATTTGCCTAGGCAACTGAAAAAATGTTTAAAATATTTTAAAAGAAGTAAATATATACTTTGGCAGCATGAGGATTAAAAATAGTTAATGTTGATTTGAGAGAGTGAAGTTCTGCTTTAATCACCATTTTTTAATTTTTTGCTACATAAAAGGAAAAAAAGCCAAAAATGTAAAAAAAAAAAAAAGTTTTTTTTGTAGGTTTTGTTATAAAATGTTGCAAATAAATAATCTTTG